GCAGAATCAAAATGGGTAATTCTAAAATGGTTAATACTAACCATCAGAGTAAACTAATATGGATTTCTCATTGTATTCATTTAAGAAAAAAAAACACTTAACAGACACAAGAGATGAAAACAAAGGAAATAGGGTATGGAATGGTCTACTACAACAGAATAAAAAAAAAAAGGATATTGCCAATCATAGTCTTGTGTGTGTGTGTGTGTGTGAAAACAAACAAGTAAACTAGTTGGATGAAAAGTGAACATGCACAAAATAGTATAATACTCTTTCTTGGAGATGATAGATGTAGGATTAATAACATCTTTGATTTGATTATCACACAGTACATGCATGCTTTGAAAAACTATATTGTACACCACAAATATGTACAATAATTAGATGTACGATAATTTAATATAAATGAGGAGTTATAAAATAATAGTGAATAATTACAAAAAGAAGTCCAACCTCCCCATCTTCTACCCCTGCTCCCCCCCGGGATCCAGAGTGGCTCCTCTTTCAGGTGTCATGGCTCCATAGGTAGCAGTCATCCTGCTAACCGTTAAATAGGTAGCACCACAGAGAATGGCAAGTCCTGATTGTGGATGAGAAAAATGATCCTCAACTTAAATGCCAGGCATAAAAGAATGTTCCTGTAGCTTATATTCTCTTTTTTTTTAAAAAAAAAAATTCAGAACCCCTTTTCAGTAGGTATAAGAGAGTCTGATCTGTCAGCAAAAAGAGTTTTAAGCTCAGAAATATCTTAATTTTCAAAACTTGATTAGGTCAATTGTTGATCTCCCAGACAAACTGTTAGCAAGTAATCAGCCAATTATATTGAAACATCTGACTTTAATACATTAGGAAAGAAAGAGGCAGATTGGACTTGATTATTACACCTTACAAAATTATTACTAATTGCAACACTAAATATTGTTAGAAATCCTAAACAAATGTTCTTTCTTTGAAATCTAATTAAACTTTGATTTCTGAATTAATATTAATTACTATTTGTCAACAAAATAAATGTTTTTTTGTTTTGTTTTGGTTTTTGGGTTTTTTTTTGCCAGGGGCAGATTTAGCAAAAAGATAAATTTTAAGTCCTTTGAAGAAGTGAGAAGATTGAAAACACTATCACATTTGGCAACATCTTAGGTGGAAACAGAATTAAATACCTATCTTTACTATTAAGCAACTTGTCCACAATCTGTGCTGATAAAAGAAATTTTAGAATGCATTTAGATAGTTTAAAAGTTTAAGTGAATCTTAAAGACATAATTTTCCCACATTTTTCCTCTGTAGCCAAACATGGCATTTATCTTACATTTCTAATAAGGATTAAAAATTAAAGATAAATATTTTAAGGTACAAATGACTTTATTTCATTTTCCAAGATTTTTGCAGTGTGCATTCAATAAATGGTGCTTACTAGTTTATTTTTCTCTGTATTTCCTTTATATTATATTCACATTCATTGCATTAAAGCTTAGGTTTATTCATTCCGAATGCAATTACTAGGTAGGTTTAAAGGTAGATAACAAAACAGATTTAGACAGGTCTCTATGGTTTCAGAGTCATGCATATGTTCAGACTTGTAAAGCATGGTTATCACTTTTACACACATCAGTATTTTGCATTCACAATACAGGGACTACATCTTATAATAACAAATAAACTGGGTGGTTGGAAAAGTCATGGCACATTTTTGCATAGAAAAACATAGAGAAATAATCATGACTTTTCTGACATTTGCAAGGATTATTATAAATAGTGAAAATATGTATGTAGATACATAAAATATGTATGTATATGTGTATATATGTACATACATATATATACACAAAGGTATGGAAAATACATATTATGAAAAAAACTGTACATAGATTTCAAGGATTATTTGCACCAAAATAAACTTGTACTTTATTTTCATTTGTCTGTTAACTCCCTTTATGTGTTTTATTCAAAGCCAATTATGTTCTGAAAGGCTTTTTCCTAGAATTTCTGAGAAAAGGATACTCATATTTTTTCCTTTGTTTTTAAATTTTGCCAGATCTCTCTGTCTGTCTGGCGAGCGCATGCGCCCTATAGCAAAAAACCTCTCAAAAAAAAAAAAATTGCCAGAGAATGCATGAACTCAGCAAAGAGAGTCAGAGAGAAAGAGAGGAAAAGTGAGAATGCACCCGTCACCTCCCATGGGGAATGATCATGCTACCATCCCTTCTTTTCCATTTCTCATTCCTTTCGGGATTTGGGACATGTACACTTAGACCCTTGCTATGCTTTTCAATCCACCGGGTATGGGATTCCCATCCCACTGTCAGCCGTGTGAGATCCAGCCGCTTTAACCACCACCCCACGAACCGACACTCTTACTGTTTTCCTACATTCATTTTATTATTATATGGGGGAAATCTGATGAAAATAGGACCAACTCAGAGGAAGAAAGACTGAGAGATTAAGAAGAAAAAATTTGACTAAGATGATACTTTAATATTATTTTTGTAGGAGGTTTTTGCCTTAGGGCCTGTGTACTCACTAGAAATAGAGACAGACAGAGTGAGTGAGAGGAAAAGTGAGAAATCAACCCCTGCCTTTCCCTCCCCCTACCCCCCACCCCCAACTCCAGGGTTGATGGCCACAGTGCAACCCCTTCTCCTCTAGTCTCCTTCTGGGATCTTGGGCATGCACACACATGTGCCTGGTGTGATGTTCCAGTCACCATGTCCAGGACTCTAACCATGGTAGGCTATGTGGAAGTCCAGCAACATAACTACTATGCCATCTGCTGGCCCCAATTTATTATTATTTTTTTAACACCGTGTAGTGCTTACAACGGGCCAGAAACTGACTTAAGCACTTGAAAATATCAACTCATTTATTCCTCTAAAAAAGTCCCTAAAGTAAGTATACTATTATATTCTTTATAACTGAAGAAACTGAAACATTGAGAAGTTAAGGAACTTGCCTAAGGTCACACAGCTAAGAACTTCAAGGGCAAAGATTTGAATCCAAAGATTCTGGATCTAATACCTGTTTTTTTGGCCACTCCTCTTACTATGATCCTTTATCTCAATGATAAGGTGACATATATTTAACAATGAGTTCTCAAAAGAAGTGGGAAAAGGAAGGAAGGAAGAAAAAAGAGAGAAAGAAGAAAAAAGATCTCTCTACTTTGTTGCATTTGCCAATTCCTCTGGAATGAATAGTCTTGCTACGGCTAATTCTAAACTATAAGCATAATGTATCTGGTTAGTAAAATTCCTCTAAATTTAATCATTGGGGAGTTAGTACAAATCAAATCTGGTATGCTCTTGCAGCTTATATCAACCTCCCTTCCACAAGACTGAATTTTCACTTTGAGTGTTTTGGATTTAGCCACTTTTGTTGGGTTTTCTGCCTATTGTAGCATTGAAGAGTCCTAACCAATATCACGTTTCTCAGACTGACATGCTTTCACATATATTGTTCTTTGTCATATCAGTCCTCCGTAATAATCTCCTGAAATTGACAAGTCATTTGCCAGTTTCCATATCTTACTCTTTAAAAACTGAGCTTTGAAGGGGTTATGACGTTTTTTTCATGCAGTGCTGGTGACATGTTTGCCAGATCCAGTACAAAATGAAAACATGAAGTCCTTGATGAGAAATATTGAGAATTCTATGATGGAGATTGCACTTACACTAAGTGTAATGTTCTTCTAAGCATGAAACCCCATCAACTGCACAGACCACGGACCCATGAAGGTGGCCCTGGAGCTATATCATTCAGCTGGTAAGCTGGATAGTGAATTCAGATCTAATCATGTCCCATAGTCCATAGTCCCATACTCTATAGCCCTGCCTCCAAAGGACCTGCAACTACATTACTGATACATCTATGTTGAACTTGTTATTTAAATTAATAATGATGACAACTTGTATTGCTGGTCAGTTTTAAGTAAACATACATACATCTACTCTTGATCCACTTAAAGGCACCTATGTTGCAATAGTTATATATTGGAACAAAGAGTAAGCCTGATCTTAATTTCTTACTTGTATTATGTTTCCTTAGGCAACACTAGAGAGAAATCTTGTTGTAAATTTATTGAAATAAATATAGTGTACATTTTTCACTTTTCAAACAAAGGCAGAAAAAAGAAATAATATTTCACACATTAGATTTTTCAATCAGTTTACCTGACATATTTTCCTTTTCCCCTGCTGTAACACTAAATTGCTTCATTTTTTTAAAAAAAATTGGACAATTCTACACATTTTGAGAATTTTGAAAAATAAAACATACCCCACTTCTATTTCTTCCTACAAAATTTTCATATGACCTGAGTTAGTTTCCCCTTGGAAGACGTGAGCCTAAGTATAGCTGTTTACGGTGCAATCACTATTTTTCAACGTGCAGAGCTTAGTCTGATGAGTTTTATTTCTTACATTCTCCCATTTAAAAATCATTACATCCCATGACAGTATTTGGTGATGTGTGATAATGAAGTAATATAATGGGAACATTTATATACCATTTATAAGTTACGTTATGCAATTCCATGTAACATTTTGGTTGTCCAGCACAATCCTTTGTGATTTTGTAAAGACACAGAGAACTCTCCACAATAAACAGCTGAAAAAGGCTTCAAATTTAGTCCAAGCAAACAACAGCAGGTAGTTTATTATGAATTATAACCTGGAAGTGGAGGCTTAATATAAACATTACTCTCAACATTTCTATTTACCTGTTGACTAACCTAAGCTATTTAATTTTCATCTATGTCTAAAACATTAGATGCTGAGAGGAAAAATATTACATCATGGTTTTCTAGAAATGTAGCAAAATGCTCCAAGTAAGAATATCAAAACATTGATAGGCTTCAAAGACTCTTTTCTAAAACATTTTTAAAGTGTAATTTTTGCTAATGAGTGATAAAAATAAACATCCAAGGGAGAAGAGGGATTTCTACATTGACAATGAAAGAAGACCATTTCAGCTATCTATGATTTATCCATCATCCATAGGAGTATTACCTGCTCAGATCTGTTCTGCTGCTGATACTGGCACTGGGCAAAGGTATTATGGGAAGTAATCCTATCCTTCTCAAATTGTTCCTTCACCTTTGCCAAACCACCAGGCACTGTGCATGTTTCTGATTCCTCCATCACCTAGGATAATTTAAGAAAAAGAAAAAGTCAGTTCCTACATCTGTAAACAATGATATTCTCGATCTATTTTTTTTTTTTTTTGGAGAGGTTTTTGCTATAGGGCACGTACGCTCGCCAGACAGACTGAGAGAGACATAGAGACAGAAAGCGAGAAATCACCCCCCAGGAGGGACGCAATCCCTTCTCCTCCATTCTCCTCTCAGGATCTTGGGCACACACACACACACACACACACCTGGTGTGAGTTTTAAGTCACCGGGTCCGGGACGCGAACCACAGTCGACTATATGGGAGTCCAGCGACATAGCCATTACACTAAATGCTGGTTCCCTCAATCTATTTTTTAATAGTTGACAATTATCTATGGGCAGCCCATTAAATTATTTCAGTAGGACTTTACTTAAAACCTTAATAAAAATATTTTATGATTTGACTATTAGAAAAGATAGTTTGTTAAGTTCTCACAGCTAGGAAATGAGTAGTTGGTATTAGAATTTGAATCCACATCTACCTGTTTTCCTTACTAGCCTCATAGAACAGCAGAGAAACAGTAGCTACACTACTTTAGGACTGGCACACCAATAAAAATATTTTATGATTTGACTATTAGAAAAGATAGTTTGTTAAGTTCTCACAGCTAGGAAATGAGTGTTGGTATTAGAATTTGAATCCACATCTGTCTCTTTTTCTTACTAGCCTCAAGGAACAGCAGATAAACAGTAGCTACACTACTTTAGGATTGGCACACCTGTGCCTCAGCTCTGAACACTGGTATGTCAGAATAGGGGTTTTAGTGCTAGAAAGGTTCTAGTCTATTCTTGTTTACAGACTGGATAGCCCATTTCAACATGTATCATTGGGAGCAACTTGAAATGCATTGGAGGAGTCTGGTCAGATTTCATACCTCGTTAAGAAGTGCAGCAGTAACTCAGGGACTTTGGTTTTGATGGTTCAGCATATCCAGAACCCAGTAGGCAGCTGAGCTCAGATGGAATGACAGCTTTCAATCAAACTGGCCCTGTGCCAACCTTCCCTCCTCAAGGAAGCTTTCAGGTCTGCTTTCAACTGGGAGGAGACTCAGCAACATTTCAAACCAGAACAGGTCTCCTGAGGTCCAGCCTAGTCCTGACATAACCCTGGGAGCCTGAAGATCTTGAAAATAACTGGAGGTCTGGGAACTTGGTTCCCATTCCACAGACTATTGGCTCTTGGGATTTTGAAATCTTAACCCAAATATATAGTTTCTCAAATGGATACTAAAAATACAATGGCTATCTTCGATCTTAGGTTTTCCATATTGCAGAACATTGGAGAATGAACTAATATTTAGGATTTTCTAAATTACCAGCAAATACTCAATGGTTGCTTTTTACCAAGTTGATAATATTTCTCTGCTTGTGTAGACTAGAAGATAGTTCAGAATGTGCAAAATGGCTCAATGAGAAGAAAAGGTGATTGTATACTTCCATGGGCTAGAAATATATTCTTTCAAATTCTGCCAAAACTTGAAATGTAAATGATAATTGATTATTGCGATATGTTAAGGTCATGAGTAAGTATGGGTCTGTTTTCAAGTTTAAGATAGAGTAATCAAGGAGAAGGGAGAACTAGGGCCACATGTTTCTTTTACCTTTTCTGCCCCTTAATTTCTGTAAGTGGCCATCCTGGGTAGATTATGTAGAGATAATATATATGTTTTAAATTATAGAAATTAAGGTAATTATTGTTAAGAAAAATCTTACTCTTTCAAACAACTATAAATCATGTCCAAATCATGTGCAAATGAATCTGATAAACCTCAGTAATTATGCGAGTGACTTGATAATCTCACAGTAAATGTATTTTCACAAACATATTAGTTCCTATAATGGACAGATTGCCTCTCATCTACAAAATAGATTTAAAGGTCCAGACAAGTCCATTTCTTTTCTCTAGCATTATTTTCTGGAATTAAGGCATATACACATGCAAATACGCATACATTTGATAATTTCTTTTTCTTTTTTTTTAGAGATTTTTGCTGTAGGGCATGTGTGTTCACCCAAGACACAGAGACAGAGAGAGACAGAAAGTGAGGAATCACCCCTTGGGTGATAGCTACAGCACAATCCCTTGCCTCCTATTCTCCTCTCGTGATTTTGGGCATGCAAGCACATGCATCTGGCCTGAGTTTTAAACTACCAGATCTGGGGCTTGACTTGTGGTCAGCCATGTGGGAGTACAATGCCTTAATCACTATGCCACCTGCTGGCCCCTAGTTGGTAATTTTTAATAGTAGTACTAACACTACCCCTACTACCCTGGTACATTTTCCACACCCTGCAGTCTTTCATCCACATAAGTGAGACAAATCCTCCTCGATATGCCTTAGAGGTGGTGATAGTGTTCCTTGTGTATTCAGCTTGTGGATGAATATTTGTTCATGAGAGGTGGCAGGGCTTGATCAAGAAGCAGCCTGTGGCTACATGATGGAGTCATGATATCTTGCTCAGATATAGAACACTCTCATGACTTTATTTGTTTAGAAGTATGAAATAAATATCCCAACTGATCCAAGTTATTATAAATGGTCACATATGAGAGATGACTTTGTACTGAACCTTTTCTGTATATTATTATCCTGTGTTTCTTATTTTTTGGCTCAGAAATAATATTTAAAATCTAATGGGCATGCCGATAATTATGTTAAAGACCTAACACTTAATTCTAGGTAAAACTATTATAGTCATCGATTTCTTTGACAAATAACTGTTCTTGGGTTATAGGACATAATAGAAATAACATAAATTTGGGAATTGGACAGACAATGATTCTAATCTCAGTTCTGACAATTAAAACCTTGGGATAGAGTTCCTGAATCTCAATTTTCTTTCATAGAAATTAAACATAGCTATAAATTTCTAACAGATTTATTGCAAGTGTTAAAAAAGATAAAGGGAGTAAAATTACCCAGCATCAAAACTGGCACTTTAATTTTTTGTTAAACAAATGTTACTTTCCCTCTCTCTCTTCTAGGTATCATTTGTAGACTGTTGCTTTTTCATAGGGCTAACTCTTATTTAGGTCCCAATGCCATTTGACTGAATCTAAACCAAATAGAAATGGATTGTTGTTAGTTAAGTGTAACTGAATTATAGTGGATTCAGTTTGGATTTTAATATGTGACTTCCAGATTTTCCACTTAAAATATTTGGGCTAATTGTAAAAGGCAGGAACTTAGTCACAGATGATTTATTATTATTATTTTATTTCAAATAGAATAAACATTCAGTCTAACCAACCAAACAAGGCCATTACTTGCTTTGCTTTAGCTATTTACCAGGTTTCCTCTGGGATAATATATGTGCTCTTGTTCCTCCCAATATTTGCTTAACGTCAAACCAAATAGTAGGGTCCTTAGGGGCCACACACGCTTCCTTATATGAGAGAAGGAGTCCATTCAGTTAGCAGAGTGTGAAGTAGAGACACCAGGACTCTTGGTTTCCTTACTACATTGTATAATCTTCTTTAAGTCACTTTCCCCCAGTATTCTTATCTGACAAATGGCCAGGGGAAAGAAGGATTATTAAATACTTTATATGTAGACTACTTTAAGATTAGTTTTTTTTTCCTATTAAATAATGGAATAATGTAGTTTCGCTATATACCCAATTTACACCTCTTGGTAGCACATTATAAACACAGATGATGCCCTGAGACCAATTTATTTCATGGTACATACATTTGTAATTCCTGTACATATAGAAATATTTTCAAATAAAATATTTCTTACTAAATAACCAGTGTTTAGATATTTTCATAATCAGTCGTTTCTTCAAGAATCATTTCTCCAATTTAGAATGCTAATTTGTAATAAAGCTCCTCAAGAATCCAGCAGGGGGTGCTGTCTAAGAAGATTGGCTGAGGCACTGCAGGCCACAGCATTTGTTTTGGAAGTGATCTATCAATAGATACTTATGTCACTTCTACACATTCATTACAAATCTATGCTGTGTCTGAAATGAATTTTCATGATTAGGTAAAAACTTAAATGTCATCTAGAATCGTAATATTGTTAACGAGTTTGGCACAGTCAGACTTGTTTCTCAATAATTTGTAAAGAAGAATGTTAAATGTAGCTATTTAAAAATACCACCCTTTTCAGCTAATCTTTATCTCTTGCTTTCTCTTCTCTCATTCTGTCATGATCAACTTGGCCAATTTGAAGATTATAATTATAAAAGAATAGTTTTATATTCCATTAAGCTGACACCCATGGAATATGGGAATCCAACAAATTCTTTTGAATATGACTTTATTATGAGTTGGTTCTAAAAATTGGTGGTCTTACTGAATCCTGCAGTTCCCTATAATCATAATTGGTTTAGCAGAGTGCCTACATTGCTAATCTCTCTCATTTCTATGTTGATTAAGCCTCTCTTAATGGGTTTATTGCATACAGAGAAATGAGAAAAGCAAAAGAAATTATACTGCTAGTGAATTTAAATGAAGCATATTTGAGACCAAGGAGGGCAGCATGCAAACCCACTTTATTAAAATTTGAAATTAATTCCAACCTTTCTGAGGAGACTAGCTATAGGTTAAGTGCTAATGATGGCAATAATAACACATTTATACAGTGCCTTATGGCTTACACATAAATTATCGCTTTGATTCCTCACCAAGACCCTCTGTGGTAGATGATTATTCCCATTTTTCAGTTAAGGAAACTGAAATTTAGAGCAGGGCCCACATAGTAGTTGAAGTTCACACATAGGTAGCACAGCTGAAGCTTAAATTCAGATGGTCTGAATTTGGTTCTCACTACTATTGTGCTCTTTCTATTTCATCCCACTGTCCAATGGTATTCTTTCATTGCATGTGTAAAAACTGACTTTGAACACACAGTAAACACATTGCTTAATGCAAAATAATCAAGAGCAGCTTACGTTAGCAGAGAAGCTGCGGCAGTCACCCCTGGAAACAGCTGCCTGGTACCTTGCCATCCGCTCCTTCAGGGAGACCACCTCCTGGAGGTCTGATACACCCTCACTCACAGCAACGCTGTCTTCTGTAAGTCCACTCACTGGCTTACTAGGGCAGACAGTAGCTGAAAGAAAATGCAGAATGCTTATATATTTGCCAGGCTTTGAAGATTAAATAGCATCACTTTATGAACAGTGGAGACATTTAAAATATTTGGTCTTGTAAAACAAACTGCAACATTCCACAATATTTTACATGTCATGTTTCATGGTCACTTTTTCTGCCACCTTTCAAGCAAAACAACAAAATGACTATATATAGATAGAGCATATTATTATATAAGCATAGAAAAACTTTCTTACTCCTATAATTACAATGATAAAGTAGTTATTTATTACTGGATGTATAATGTTAATAATTAATATTGTCCATACATTATGTGTTGTATGTATGCTAAATGATATAAGAATATTATCTCATTTATTTCTTTAACAACCTTATGTGGTAGGTATTATTATTTTCTAAAATTTATATACATGAAAACAGAGATTCATAACAGCTGTAAATGTTCTCAGAATCAAACAATTAGTAAGTGGCATATTTAAATATGGCTTGAGTAAATCTTAGCAAGATTAATGTAACTCCTTACTTCTCTCCTCATCCCTCAACTCTCAAGGAAATACATATAGTTGAAGATGTAAATGCCAAGGGACCAGCAGTTGGTGTAATGGCTATGTCGCTGGACTCCCACGTAGTCAACTGTGGTTTGTATCCCAGACCTGGGGGCTTAAACTCACGCCGGGCGCATGTGTGTGCGTGCCCAAGATCCCGAGAGGAGAATGGAGGAGAAGGGATTGTGACGTGACCATCCCCCCTGGGGGTTGATTTCTCGCTTTCTGTCTCTCTGTCTCTCTCTGTCTGTCTGGAGAGTGCACGCGCCCTATAGCAAAAACCTCTCCAAAAAAAAAAAAAAAGATGTACATGCCAAGATAATTATAGATTGATATTTTTCTTTTATTCATAGAGGCATATTTTGCATGAGAAAAAGATAATAGTATCAGAAGCAACAGTGTCACCCATTTCATAGAGTTTGGTATTTTCCCATATAAACCATCTGCCTGACAAAATTCCATGTTTATAGCGATCACATACTGGAAACCTAGCAAAAGACTAATTGCAAATCACAGAGTAACAGTTGTCAGAAACAGAAAGATCCTAGTGCTACCTAGTCTAACCCCATCTAACCCAAAGAAAACATATGCCTAAATGTTTCCTTAGGTGAAAGGACGTAAGGAACCTCCATGGTAATTTCATTCTATAATACATGGCTATTTAGCTTATACTTGCCAGAGCTCTCCTGAAAACTAGTTTTTCTTACCTAGTGCTCTTTGCTATGGTTTTACTCTACTTAATGGTTTTCTATTCACTCTGAGGAAGTTTTGATTTCAAAAGCTTTCTGGAAACAGTGCATGTTATAGGGGTGTGTATGTGTGTGAATATTCATTTATTCATGCACCTCCTGCTTTTCACTATTAGGTTTGGTACTTTCTGAGACTTACAGGGTAGGGTCTTTGGTGTACTTTACTATTTGATTTGATTTGCTTTAATTACCAATGCTAAAACAACTTCAGGTAACAAATTGTGATGCTATTCTCTGTATTCCCTGTTCCTCCTTTCCCTTCCTTCTGCCCTCAGCCTTCACATCAAGCCATCTTATTGATTCATTTACTTTTTCTATTACAGTCTTCAAAGCTCATGTACACAATAGCAGTTGAAAATGTCTGGTATCTCCCCCCCCCAAAAAATAATAATAATTTGCATTTTAACTCCCTCCCTGTTAGGTTTTCCACAGACTTCTTATTCATATAAATGTTTTTTTCCTACATTTTAATTAAAATCATATAACTATTTTATTTAACATGCTGTAAAAATATGCTAAATATAAGTGAAGTTGTATTATGTGAATGCTGTGTTCATCTAACACTGATATATTCCCATCAAATGTCAGTCATCTTTGAAATTCACTTGTCATCTAAAACCTCATATCCATACAAAATACATTCCTGTATTTGATTCTCATAAAAGAGATTCCCACAAATCAATGAAAGTCTTTCACATGCTGGAGGAATGATACCTTCATTTTTTCCTGCGGATTATCTATCTGCACAGATGAATTCAGTTTATATTTAAATCTACCACTTTTTCATTAGTGTGAATGATCACTATACAGATTTTATTGGACTATTGGACTTGACTTCTCAAAGTTTTTTCACATTAAAATACAAATTTTATTTTAGATACATTTATAAATGATGTCATTATTTTATTAACCTTAATAGAAAGTTGGTTTGGTTATCTTTGCTAAAATATACAGGTAGTATTTGCTTTCAAATATTTGATTTTTATTATTTTTTAATTCTGTCAGAAAATGCCAAAGATTACTGATCAGAAAATCAGCAACATAGTAGTATTAAGAGATTTGATTTTCATTGCATAAGTGGCCATTTGAGCTGATCACAAATAAGTACATCTCTCTTTCTCTCTTTCCCCTACCAGTTACTGCATACTCGGGTAGGATCCTGGAATATAAAAGTTGCCTTGAGTCAACAAGCATATCTTCTAAGTCAACGTCTTATCAGTTTCTTTGTCTAGAGACCAGGCGATACTTCTTGCCTAGTGTACTAAAATACAGTACACTCATATACTCCTAACTCCTACCTTGGTGCTGATGATACCTGAACTAAGTTTTCAGTGTTAACAAAACAACCTTTTCTTTGGGAATGTGTGGAGAAAAGGAGAACATGAGGTGCCTGACTTAATAATCCCTTATTTCAAAACACTTGGTACAATCTAGATTGGAGGACAGTCTAAAATGAGCGTAGGGTTTGTTGTTGTTGCTGCTGTTGTTTGTTTTTTCTTTTTTGTAAGAGATTTATGTCTTGGAGCATGTCCACTAGCCAGAGAGAGATAGAGAGACAGAGACAGTGAGAAGGAAAGTGGGAAATCACCCTTCATGAGGGATGGTCATGTGGCAATCCCTTCTTCATTCTCCTCCCAGAATCTTGGGCATGTATGCACATGTGCCTGGTGTGATTTTCACGCTACCAGGTCCAAGACTTGAACTGTGGCTGGTTGTGTGAGTCCAGCAACATAACTGCTACTCCATCAGCTGGCCCTACTCAGGGCATTTTTAAAAGAAATGATATAGAGAAGAGCAAATAAAGATGATGATTGTCAATATCTCTGTAAAAATAGGGAATGATGAAACTGATAAATATGCAAATCAGACAGTGGAGGAACAAGATAGAAGGCTTAAGTGCTCTGTGAAACAGGGAGGAAAAAATAAAATATTCAGATGACTATTTTTGTTAGAAAGCATTATAAATATCAATATCATGGAATGATTTTGTTAGAAGTTTCTCATCTCTAGGGCTCAGAAGAAATTCATTGTGCAGGTTAGTAAACAGAAATCCAGGGAAGTTCAGTGAATTCTCTCAAATCTCCAGAGTTAATGGCATAACTGGGAATTAGAATCTCTATGTCTTAAGTATAGAAAAATTTCAAAAATTTTGTATTTGCTAATAAGAAAATAATGCCAATCTATTCGAAATATTAATTCTTTGTCTAATAAAATAAACTCCAGAGGCCAGCAGGTGGTATGATGCTAAGGCACTGGATTCCTACATCACCAACCACAGGTAGAGGTCCACACTTAGCAGTCTGAAAATCACACTGGGTGCACACGTGTGTGTAGCTGCCCAAAATCCCAGGTCGAGGATGGAGGAGAAGGAATTGCAGTGAGGCCATTTCCCCTGGGGAGCGATTTTTCACTTTCTCTTTCTATGTCTCTCTCCAGCAAGTGCACATGCTTTATGGCAAATAAATAAATTAATTAATTAAATTCCATAAGTTGAATATAGCATACAGAGAAGTGTTTTAAAGGAAAATCAAATGATAAAAATAAAATTTATTATCATGAGAGCCATTAGATATTCAAGATAATGTATTTTTTCAAATATGAAATGTGGAATGTTTTATTAAGTCATGCTATCATTTTTCCAATATCTAAAGAATATTAAAATTATTTGCATTCCTCCCCAGGTAATTGCAACTCCAGTTCTCATAACAGTAGAAACAATTTGTTTTTGTTTGTTTGTTCATAATTTTTGAAAGGCAAGTACATTCTCTTGACATTTAATAAATTTCCTTCCAACCTCTTTCAATACTTTTGCCTTTTTAATTATATTTTTACATTTAATTAGTGTACTTTTATAAGAGTTCTAGGGAAAAGTTTACATTTTAATTTTTTATAACAGTTACATAAAACAAGTATAACTGACTTATGTCTATTACTATTTTTTATAATTAGTAGTGCTTTTGAGACTAGAGACCTACTTCCACAAGCCCCAAACATAAAATTCCCTTTTGCAGTTTTTGAAAACTTACTAATGGGGACTGGCAGGTGGCAGGGGGGTTAAGTGACTCCAGGATTCCCACATGGTTGACTGCTGTTCAAGTCTGGAATGGGCAACTGACTTTCTCGCTTTCTCTCTCTCTCTCCCTCATTCTGTCCCTTTCTAGTGAAATTGAAAATAAATAAATAAATAAAGTTAAATAAAATAATTCTTTACCAAAAAAACTTACTAAATCAATCCATCAAAGTTAGCCCAGTTTACATAAACTCATTATGTTTTCTTGATTTTACATTCCATAAAGAGGTCATGTTTAAAGAATTTTTTTTTCTCAAACCTCAGTGGTACAATATTTACAAGATAGGATACTCCTTTCTTGATCAATTACTCACATGCCTGCCATCAGTCACAGACGGGGTTGCATTGTCACCTCTCTGTGTTTTCTTGGAGGTGATAAAATAATAGTTGCACAGTGTTAGAAAACAATGAGGAATACTCAATATAATTAATGCACTCTTGAATTTTCTCCTAATTTCACAGCTTCTATTAGAGAAAGAATTCTTAGAAATATGCATAAGTAAATATCAAGAGACATTTTAAAAGAGTCATTGGTATATTTGTCATAAAATATCCTAAACCAAATGCTCAAGAAACTTCAAATTTGCAATTTAGTGGTTTATAAAAATA